AATTTAGTCTTAATTTCGTTAATTCTGGAATCTATTTTGGCAATGCCTGCCTCTTCATGTAAATTTGTTATTCTAGTGTCGAAAGGACGATCAAGAACCATCCTCAGCACTCTATTATAAGCGACTTGGATTTTGTTCCTGTGAGTCTGTGCACATGATTCCCACACCGAAGCTGCGTAGAGGATCGCAGGTGCTATGATTTGTTTGTAGATAGCCAGTTTATTCACACTTGAGAGGCGGGATCTGCGGCAAATCAGCGGATATAGAGACTCAACCAAGGCAGAACACTTGACTACAGTTTTCTCTACATGCGAACGGAAGAGCAGCTTTTCATCAAACAACATCCCGAGATAGGTTACTTCGGCAGACAACTCAACCCTTGTGCCATCCATGATTACAGTACAAGATGGAGCCGGTTTTAGTTTGGGCGATTGCCGATGGAGGAACATGATCGCTTGTGTTTTGGAGGCATTGATTTTGATTTTCCACGTGGTGGCATAATCAGCAAAGGCGTTAAGGCATCGTTGAAGTTTGTTCGTTATTTCGCGAGGCATCCTTCCTTTGACGGCTATTGCGGTATCATCTGCGAACAGGAAAAACACGCAACCGTCACCGAGGGGAGGAATGTCGCAAGTATAAATGCTGTAAAGCAAGGGGCCCAGCAGAATGCCTTCCGGGACACCTGCTGGGATGGAAAACGTGTCTGAAAGACAACCATTCAACGATACCTTAAACGACCTTTGCTGGAGGTAGTTACGGGTGATTTTAACCAGATGTAAAGGAAAGTTGAAGTTACAAAGCTTGTACACAAGTCCATCATGCCAAACATTGTCAAACGCCTTTCAACGTCTAACAAGGCCATGGCTGTGGACTTGGATACAGCTTTGTTACTTCGGATGTTATTCATCACCCGTACTAGCTGATGATTGGTGGAGTGCCCCTTTCTGAATCCAAACTGTTCCGGAAGGAGAATGTTGTTTTCCTCGACAAACGTGTGCAAACGATTGAGAATGAGTTTCTCGAACAAATTGCTCAGCGCTGAAAGGAGGCTGATTGGTCTGTAGCTTGAAGGCAATGTTGGATCCTTACCGGGCTTGCGGATTGGTATAATTTTTGCTACTTTCCAGATGCTTGGAAAGTAGTGCAGATCCAAGCATCTGTTGAAGATAGCGGTTAGAAGAGACTGCACTTTCATGCTGAGTCTCTTCAAGATCAAGTTGAATATACCGTCAAACCCGGGGGCCTTCATGTTCTTGGTGCATTTCAGCGCTGAGCAAATCTGTTGTACTGTAATCATATCCATCGGAGGCACGACACAAGGGGAGGCGCATCAAGGTGTTGAACGCATTGCGTAACCTGATCTTCGAGCGGACTTTGGATATTCGAGCCAAGCAAATGCGATGAAGCGACATGCTTGCCGATCGCATTTGCTTTCTCCTGTGGGGTGATTAAAAGCCGATCGTCATCATTTTCGACTCTGAGAGGTGGAATGGGTTTGGGATGAGTTTTCAGGACCTTGGCTACCTTCCAGAATGGTCTGGAGCGGTCGTCCAGATTCTGGACAACACGCCCGAAACTTTCATTTCGGAGTGAGTCCATTCTGGAAGCAATCTGTCTGTTCAGATCAGCCATTTCACGTTTTTTGCCCAGATCTCCAGTCCTCTGAAACTGGCGTCTACGAACATTTCTCAGGCGAATCAAAAGTTGGGTGTGGGAATCAATGGCAATAAACTTACCCCTCACAGGAACTGACACGTTGCAGCCCAGTTCAGCCACCACCGGTTGGTGGTCGGAGCTGATTTCGTTCAAGGCTACCGGCTTGGACAAGCCGATATGTGTCAGGAACAGGTCTAGCGTCGATGGGTTGCCCGCCGGTGAGATGAATGTTGATTCATCCGAAAACCAAACGGAGTACAACCCATGCTGTAAGTGGTCGAACAGGAGACGACCGTTCTGGTTCTGCTGGTAGTTCCGCCAGGCCTCATGGCGAGCATTCAGATCTCCTCCAACTACGAAGCGGGAACCGGTACGGGTGATGGTGGACAGGCCCTTCTTAAATTTAGCCGCTAGTCCACTGCTGGCGGCACACTGTCGAGGGCAGTAGACGGCGATGAACTGAACGTATGCAGTCGACGACTCCACCTCCACACCAAGGGCCTCGATGATAGAGGTGCGAATATGGGACAGAGTGTGGTATTTTATTCCTTTCTTGACGACGACCGCAACACCACCCCCCCTGGAGCTGGTGCGATCAAGCCGGATAATGTTGTGGTCAGGCAACCAGAAGCTGTCGCCGGACTTTAGATGGGTCTCGGTTAGAATGCCCACGTCGATGCTGTGCTTGTGGAGGAAGTCGCCAAGCTCAATCTCAAATACTGGATGATGAACTTACCGAACACTTGGATCTGTTCGGGCTTATTGCGGCACTTACGAAGAGCACCGGACATGTTGACGAAAATTTCCATCAGTTCATCCGCTGAGAACAGATCGGGGTTGTTGTTTTGCGCTGTTGGTTGTCTCCAGAATCCAGGGGGGGATGGAGAGTTTTGGCCAGCAGAATCACCGAAAGTTGCTTGAGCGGGATGCACCCGCGAATTCGCTTGCCTTTGCTGAGGAGCACGAAGAGGTGGAAAATCCTCCGTCCGAAATGCCGTCCTTGCGTCCTGGTTGGTTGTTAGTTGCCACCTGTTTTCGGATGCGTTTGAAGTCCTCGCGTTTGGAGCACTGTCTGTCGGAACCTTGATGTCCACCACCACAGTTGGCGCATTTTAACGCCACGGCTCCATCCGCAGGGCAGTTGGAAGTGGCGTGTTCTTGAGCGCAGTTGCTGCAGCGTGGCTTGATGTTGCAGTTGCGGGTACCGTGTCCAAAATTGAGGCACCGCTGGCACTGCGTTACGTCACGATGGCCGCCACGGTATGGCTCCCATCGTACGATGATGGAGTAGATCGATCGGATGGCTTGCAGCGCATTGAGAGTCACCGTCCCTTTCTGGAAGTGCACCAGGAAGAGGCAATCCGGGTACGTCTTCACGTTTTCGTCTCTCCTTGTCATTCGGAATACAGCGATTGGGGCTAGCTTGTACCGGTTGATTTCAGCTTCGATCATCTTGGGGTCGAAGTTTGGTAGACCCCTGATGACTACCTTGAAAAGCTTCTCACCGGGGATGTCGTGCGTGAAGAATTCCGCCTTGGAATCCTTCAGATATTTCACGGCCACTTCGTACTCCGCTTTTGTTCGCAGCATCACCTTGGTGCCGATCCTGCCGAGCTTAAACTCAGCTGCAACGCCCAGCGATGAGAGATCGCCAATCAGCGTGTTGAGTGGTACTTGCTTCACCACCAGTGGAGGAAGCTTGATTTTCACCGCACTCGGGCCGGCAGAATTCTCGGTTTCGACGGCGTCGCCGAAATCACCGATGTTGCTGGCGTTCTTCGCGGTAACATCGTCGCGTCCGCTCGTATCATCGGACTGTCCTTGATTCTTCTTCCAACATCGGTGGGAAGAGTAGCGTACCTATTTGAGGTAGGTACCGAGCTACCCTCACCACTGTTTTTCTTCTCCGGTTGGTCACGAAGTCTGCTCCGGGAGCGCTGTCTTCCCATCACGCGATGCGACCGAAACTACTGACGAAGCGACGTGCAGTATATCTGCGAACGTTTGTAACAAACTATAGGTTAATCGAACAACTCGACAGAGCGAACAAAGACCGAACTGTACTGCTTGACGTTCAAGCAGAGAATCATCATGAGCTAATGCCATACAGCAGCGCTCTTTTATATCTTTTCAGGTTAAAGCAGAATGATATGCAACCAAGTGGTACTCGATTATGAGGACTGGGTTTGGGAAGAACGTTTATTTCATGAAAACAGTGATAACATTATAACTTTTTATTTGTACATTGGAAAATGCTTGACATTACCACTTTTTTTAATACTTTCACGTTAAAAATCATCATTCGAAAGCAATATTATAGATGCGTCGGAAGATTTATGATCGATTGGTGTTAAAATTATTGAAATTTGTCCAGAAGCAGCTGAGTTATTTATGTTCAAAATCTTTCGTAATTTGTTTCATGTTCCATTTTCGGTTTTCACAAAGTGTACCCCCAGTATAGAAATAAAAGACGTAGTCCTACGTCAAAATGTAACTCAATTACCATTAGTAGAAAACGAATCCTACCCGATAAAACAATCACTTTAGGAAACCAGATCGCAGCATAGTTTGGTCTCCTTTTTCAATCACACACGAAGAAATAATAGAGTCCGTTCAAAAGCAGTTTCAGTTTCATAACATTTTTCAATAATGTTATAGTAACTAATTTCTGAAAGAATTTACTTGTGTTTTATACAATTAGTATCAATGCTCCGTCATATCGTATCTTCAAGTGCTCGTCGCAAGCACCACATTTCGTTCAGGCTCTTTGGAACTACATGTGATGAAACATGAAACGCAGCTTTACAGTGCATTACACATAATTACTCATTACTTACTGCCTCAGGCTAAAAATCTCTAAAATAAAGAAAAAAACAAAACAAACATTACTTACTCACACATGAAATCCGCTCGACCAACCTGGCAGAACGCGCCCTAAACCTCATTGAACCAAAGGGCTGGGATTTTCAGTTCCAAACTAGGATATTATCAAAAATTATCTCGTAGCTACATCGACGATGCATTGGGTACATCCCTATCATTTGGAAACAGAAGATGGTTTATTTTGTTATGTATGGTAATTTGCATAATTTGAGTTTTCCGTAAATAAAATCAGCGTTGCATAATTTTCATGACTCCTTGCCTTTTTAGAGTTGCGTAAAGGGTATATTTTGAGAAGGTACACTAGTAGTATAGTAGTTGTTCCCCACGCGATTGAGATGCATGAAATAACTCAAAGTATGAGTCCGAACTAATGTTTGCGGACGCTGCATGCGTGCATGCGTTCAGAATTGGCTGCGAATGGCTCTTTATGTAATTGCATTTCTGTTGTTTCTCGCCCACAGACACCGGCAATGAACTAATGCGCTTAAAAGCTCACAATGCACGAATCGAGCGGATATCCTTTCCGTCTTGGCACGGAAAACATCAACAATATCCACATCCACACTCGCATCCGCAGCAAAAACAGGACGCAAAGTACTCTGCAAAACCGACCAACTCATCCGGCATTGAGAATCAACAGAAAGCTAAATCGAGCAAAATCGCCTTACCGATGTTCCTAGTAACGGCGGTCGGATGCGCCAAGTTGTTCGATGTGCGAAATTTCTTCGAAATGCATCAATTGAATTACGGGACAGCAGATTCAATGAAGCGCATTGAACAGCTACAGTGGGTTCCAAAGACGGATCTATTGCTAGGTTGTGGACTGGACGGAATGCTCAGGCTCTGGACCACTGATTTCAGACTAGCCAAAGAGTTGAACCTGAACAAGATGAGAACCAACTACTTGAAAAAGTTTCAAATGGGAACTATTATGTGCGATGGAACTATCTGTGAAAGTCAGGACGAATCCAAGCGTGAAGTTGAGCGAGTAGTCCAAAGCATGACTGATGATGGACGTACCAAAGGGTATGTGAAATCGGCTCAATTTACCCGTAGCGGAAAGTTTCTCCTGCTTAATTGTATGGACAATTCTTTGATTATACTTGCTTGTGATGCCTGGCAGATATGCAAAATAGTAGCACTTTCTAGTTTGTTCATTACGCATTTCGAAATCGTACACGTAGAACAGCATCCACACTCTCAGGCCGAGTTTGTGATGGCAGTTAAAACAGTTGAGAGTGATTTGTTGCTAATGAATTTGGAGGACGGTTGCAAAAGCTTCGTAGTTCACAGTCCGGAAAGCAAATGCTATAAATTCCGACTCTCCAACAACGGCAAAATGCTGGCCAACGTGCTGAAAAGCGGTGAAATTTTCCTCCATAATTTGGAATTCCATTTGTGCGCCGTGAATGCGAATAAATTACAACATTTGGCAGTAGGGAGACCAACAGGAAAAACACATCCGCGACCATCGAAAACAACTACAAGTACCACTACCGCACAACAACGGACGAGAGAACCGGTGGCGAATAGTAATTTAGCCACTCCCTCCATTGTAGCGACTCCGTCATTGTACACTGTACCAGTCACGGTTGCTTCTTCCGTTTCAACGTCGACCGGACAAATAGTGTCCGTATTCCGGAAGGAGAGCAAGCTTAAAATAGATAAACGATTGGAGGAGATCCACGATAAGGTAAGCTGCACTCGGTTTGCTTGGCAAAATGCAAGGGCCCGTTGTTGATTTGAATTTTGTCCGTCATCCGGTTATTGCCATCCACTGCGGATGGTAAGAATGCGGTGGTTTTGCTGTTCATGTTGATTTTTTTCTAAGATAATGAATTGGTTATTTGATGCTGTAGAAACAATAACAAGCAATGATCTGCAAGCTTGTACCTAGCATTGAATGTCATGCCATCTAATAGCTAGTGCTAGCTAGAGTCTTAGATAGCAAACTTGATTAGTTTCATTCGTAGGTTTTGATTGAAAATAAATTTAATTTATTCATGTTTACAGAAGTCACAAGATAGCAAGCATACTTGTGCTTCTACTTGACGGTGTCTACGAAACAGAATTAGGCATTAATTTGTAAAGTTTGTTTTTTCTCTCGATCTTTATCAAAATAAAATCTACTTGAAGCATTATTTTTCCTATTTTTTGTATGCTTTCTGCATTTTTTATATTCTTTCTATCATTGTTTTATGATGATTGTTTATTTCTATAAAAAAAACTTTTAAACTATTTGCATGCTTGCTACAACTAATTACACTATCTTCGCACAGTTCTCGTTCTTGCTATGTTTTGAAAATGTGAATTTGACGTCTCTTTTTGTTTTGTTGTTTACAATCACGTTCTATAAAAACTGCCTGTAGGGAAGAAAGAGGCGACACAAATATTTTCCTTTGGTTTGTTTTTTTCGTCGATCTTGTTTTCCGTGCTGAGCACCAATGCTACTGACGTGCCAGGAAGGCAGCTCCCACACCTGGACCCTACCTATCGACTCATCAACTCATGAACCGGGGACCAACGGCTTTACTTCCCATCCGAAGAAAGGCGTGATCAGAGATGTTATGCCTCAGAACATCCCGGCGGCGCCGACTGGGATTGAACTCCTGCTGGGGTGAGAGGTAATCACGCTTACCACTACACCGTCGGCGCCGTTAGCCACAAATATTTATAAGATACATACGTTATTTATTAGTTCTTCTTATTTTTCCTGGACGACTAATTGAGTTTTTGCATTTGCTTTCAGCTGTGCCCGCAACTCCCTCAACCCTTTCCCGCCCAGAGTGTCAATTTTAAAAACCAGTATCTCTGGAGTGTCTTGAGATATTGGCCTGCATTTTTTTCGTTTCGTTTGTTTGGCAGGCTCAAATGTTATAAAAATAACATAGCGGAGCCGAGTAACATGAAATACCAATTTTGGTACTCAAAATACAAAAAAATAAATATAAAAATGCATTTTATTACAGGATTTTCCTGGGTGGCGATCGAAGCGGTGACAAAGCGATCTTCTCCCGTTGCACGCAACTTCTTTCTTTTCCGAATTTGTTCCTAATTTTCATTAAACCCGAATTGTGATCGCTGCTGCTGCTTCTGAACGTCGTTTCCCGTTGCATGCTCTCCGCTACTCTCGTCGGTCGTCGGGGTCGTCACGTCCATTTCGTTATTTTCATCCAACATCTTCGACCCCGTGTCCGTTTCCTTGTCGCTAATGACTAACGACGCACCTTCCACCACTACACCAGCATACGTACTGCTGCTGTTTTGTTTTCTTTCACTTTGCTGCTTTCCTTTTTCCTTAAGTTGCTTCTCCGGTTCCTTCCGAGCCTTCCGCTTGGGACATGAAAGCTTCCGGTGTCCGTCCGCCTTGCACAGAAAACATTTATCTTTGTTGCCATCATAAAATATATTTCCTTAGCGATTGAAGAAATGTAATGATGTGGGGATTTCCTTCTTCACATCCATATATATATACCGCGTATCCCTGTATATACCTCATGGCACAGATCAGTTGGAAATTTCTCCCGGGTGATGCGTTTAATTTTTCCATATTTCCCCAGCACTTTATCCAGCTCGCTGTCGGGTACCTCTGGTGGCAAGTCATACACACGCATATATTGGATGAATTCACTAGCATGCGACATGCGTACCTTTGTCGTCGTTCCATTCGCATAATGGAAGATTAAATCCTCTGAATTATATGTCAGAGCATGGAGCATCGTTTCTTCTGATTTGAACTTCATGAAGACTCCCCTTTCCTCACCAATGCGATAAACAGCTTCAATTTCAGCCGGATCCGCGTCGAGTGCTTTGGCGAAATTTACAATCTCTACGATGTTTGATTTAGCATCACCATGGCTGAAGCTAAACTTGATGGTGGTTTTTATTTCACACATCTTGCACCGTAGCAACAAAAGGCACCGAACTGCTAGCAACGAACAAAGAGCAACTATATACCTAATAGCGAGTCTAGAAAATAGGCTATCGCGTGGTTCACATCGAAATAAAAAAAATCGACTGCTGCTGGAACAACTATGGATTTTCTTCCGATAAAAGAATAATACAGGTAATATTTTTACAAAAATCTGTTCTAATTTCAGAAAGTTATAGCTCACAATGTCTAAAAAGGCACAGTAACCATGGGCGGGAAAGAGTTAATTTTTTCAAACGTTTTCTACCTCCAATACATTGGTCTTCCCTTCGTCTTTAATCCAAAACTTTTTCTCCGGAAAGTCTACAGTTCACGCAAAACAAATGGCATGAACATCCAATGTAAGGGTGGATTTGTTACATCCTCCGCATGTTTTTTTTTTTACCAAAAAATGTAATGGCAGTTCTTACAATGAACTGTAGCGTATAAGCAAGTTTTTCCAGAATAAATATGTTTGAAATGATTTTCTAGTGTATTTGGGGATCCAAACTTTGTCCGAAAATTTAGTAAATATAACAAAATAATAAGATTATTAAAAAAAAAAACCTTTAAAGCGGCTGAAATTCTCTTTAATATAGAAATCTAATCTAATCACATTACATAATCTGTTCATGCGGTGGAACATTGCAAATTCTGTTTGCTTTTTGCACTCGGTTGAGTGTTCCAAACTTGTAGAAAAAACTCGCGTCATTCCAATCACACTGACCCAGAACCGCTTTTATTTAGTGCCGCTGCTATCAGGAAGTTTGAGATACCTGTTCTTATGTAAAAAAATCCGTTGAATTCAATGATTAAGGGGTAATTTTTTTTTTTTTATTATAGTCACTTGGGTCATTTGTGACTTGTCCGGGGGTGAGATTTGAACTCGTGACTTTGGCGTGAGAGGTATGGATGTTAACCACTACGCCGGGGTCGCCCCCTGGAAAGGGGTAATCAACTCTGCACACTGTGCCGAAACACATAACGGCACACTGATCGGATCATTAGCGCACACTTTGACAAGTATGACAAAAATATAATATAAAGCGGCATCACTGTTTTTGCTGACGTTTTTCCAATAGTTGCAAAGGTTTCACACTTTGTTGTCAGCCGTTGATCTTCAGGACAAAATTAATAAATCCATTGGACTAGACGATCAGTTTCCGGATTAGAAGACAAACATATACTTTGCTCGGATCTCTCTTGCAGCCAGAACTTCGTCCAATTCCCTGCTTTATTAAAGTGTGATGATAAATACCAGCAACAGAAATAACTTGGTCACGTTCTGGGTACTCCACTTTTGCGACCAACACTTGCTTGGCGTTTCCAATAGCCACAATTCTTTGGTGCAAACAATGTAAATATTTACCTTTTTTGAAAAAACCCAGGTAATCATGATGTTTGATTATTGAAAACAATATGAATGAAGAAAAGAGACCAACTGATGTCATGATTACCTGAGATTTATCAAATAATGTAAATATTTACAACGATTGCATCGAAGAATATCGGTAATCACGGTTTACATAAGTCAGGGTGGCCAGATACATAGCATAATAAAAATCAGGACCTTACCTCCCTGGATGAGCGATCTACGGAACCACCGGTCGCTCACGCTGTTTATTCTTTCAATAAACAGAATGATACCCTAATGTACATTCTTAGACAATTTAATAGATTGGCTTTCTTTAAAAAAAAACTAAGGTTTGTTTTATACACCTAACAATATATAGTTTTAACAACCTAAACACGATCAATAAACCCTTCAAACCTTCCTCTTGCCATACAACAGAACAACATTCGGAACCTCGTAGTTGTCCATCTCGAGCAAATCGATCAACTTTTTTTTTCAAAATCCCCACTAATCTTGAGGTACACAGTTCGAAAAAGTAGTGTAAATTTCTGTCACTATGATGCACATAAATGGAGCGTCACATATAACACAAATTCACATTACAGATCGTTTAAATTTATGAGTCATTTAATGAAATATTCTAAATATTGTATGCAACCATCCATCTTTGTAAGAATTATTTCTTGCAAGTTGCTAGTTTACGTGAACAAGAAGTTTACATGCTTCAATTTTAGCGTGCATAGATTACATCACTATTAAAATTAATAATATTTTGGTGTGTAGCTATCATCCACTTGCAGCCGATTGAACAGCTTTACCGCTGCCTCGCAGTTGTTATTGCTGTGGTACTGTTTCATTATTAACGCCATGGACGTAGAACCACTCGTCTTTAACGCGTTTTACCGGATTTATGAGGATCCGACGGAGTTGAGCTTTGGAACCTGGTTTTGTTGATGTTAAATGGCCTGAATCTAGGATCAGATTTGGTTTACTTGGCCTAGTTTGTTTATGCGGGTGGAATTTCGGTGCTGCGGTAGTTATTTTATGTTAGATACATCAATTCATCACGCTTCGTTTTCTTGCACAATCACAAGCAAACAATCACAAAAGTCACTAAATCTCCAGGTTTGCCAAATTCATCGGATACTTGATTGTTACGCTTCGGCACAGCGTTTGGAACAGCTTTCGGCACAGCTAAAACATTCGGCACAGATTGAGGTGTGCAGAGTTGATAAACCCCTCGGAAGGGCCCCATTTTGCTCGTTTCTCCCCATTTTCAAATAAAAATAACAGTTATATTGCTTTATAGGCGACTGCTAGTAATCGACAGCCATAAAATGCACTGAACGGCATAATAGAACGCTAAAGAAATCAGCTACAGATAGAACGCTAAGAAAATCAGCTATAATTTAACCCTGAACAGACCAATGAATTAGCCACCATAATAAACAAATACACACCTAGAAATAACTAATTTTACACTTGACGGAATCCATCTTTGACATAAAAGGCGAGACGTAAACGAGCATGTCATGTAATATTGAGTACTCCGAGACTGAAAAGTTCGTTTAAAGATTTTTCTTTCTTTGATTTTTTTACGGCCGAGCCAACGGCTTTACTTCCATTCAAAAGGAAGGCGTGATCAGAAATTTTATACCTTTAGAAAATCGCGGCGGCACCGACTGGGATTGAACCCAGGCCTTTTGGGGTGAAAGGTAATCACGTTTACCACTACACCACCGGCGCCACTATATGTTTAAAGATTGTACTCGAAAAAAAAAATGCAACACTTTCTTTTGTGTATGAGTAAAACTAGTTTAGAGTGTAATGTTTACATGTGCAAAATCTCGTCACACTATAGTCGCTATATTCATAATCTGGCGGATAGAATCTTGGGAACCAATTGAGCTGTGAAATAGCTGAACCAATCGAGGAAATCCCGACCAACAACAGAAAAGAGTACATCAGCTATTGCGAACGAAATTTCGAAAACCCTTTTCTCGTGACTCAAGGCTCGCCTACACAAACTAACACCATCTTTAGGTTGTGGAAAGTTTCCCCTATCTGATGATGCTGGTAATTTACCTTCGATTGGCGAGGAAAGAATAATCAACGTTTTGTTTATAAAAGTTGATAGTACCTTTTCAATTGTTGGTCTACAATATATTGAAATGGTTCCGCTTTTTGATAGATCGAAATTCTATCCGCCAGACTATGAATATAGCGGCTATAGTCACAATTTGTGAAGTGGTTATCTAGATAGCTTCAAAGCAAGAAGTGCTTCGGGAAAAAATATGGGAGCGGTCGTGGAAAATCCAGGCTAGTCCCACAGCTGGATCGTGAAATAGTTTGGAATCGACAATCCCACTCTGTTTCGTGGAGACCCAGACAACCCAGCGGCGAGCTGGTGGCGGAAGAAAAGCGAAGACGACCGTCTCCGTGAACGCAAGGAAGGTGAGGGATCGCTTCAAGCGCAATCCGAACCTTTCGATTCGGGACGTGGCCAAGAAGCTCAATTCTTCCGTCTGGTTCATCCAGCAGACAATGAAGCGGGCCGGACTTCATGTCTTAAAGGTAATGAAGGCGTCTAACTGAACCGATAAACAGAATACGGTGGCCAAATCCCGCGCCAGGAAGCTGTACCGCGAGTTGTTTGTGCAGCCGAAATGTATCGTAATGGCGGACGCCAAGCAGATCCCCAACCTGGAGTTTTTCATCGGCAAGTCCCACCTGGATGTTCCGGAGAAGTTCCGGAAGAAGAAGGTAAACAAAATTGCCAGTGTGGCAGGCGATCTGTGGGTGCGGCAAATTGAGCAAATATATAAATAAGAATGCCTCCAGAAGCGCCTGCTGTTCTTCCTCCGGTTCTACGAAGATGACACTCTGTTTTGGCCGGATCTGGCATTGTGCCAATACGCGAAACCGGTGATGGAGTGGAACGAAGCCAACGATGTTGTTTTTGTGCCGAAGGAGGCAAATCTGCCAAACTCGGCAGAACTTCACCCAATAGAAAAATTCTGGCCGATTATGAAGGGCAAGCTCCGGAAAACAGGGAATGTCTTCAAAAACGACAAGGATTTGAAGAAAGAGTGGATGAAAGTGTGTAAGAAAGATGGAGTAAGTGTTGCACAGGATTTGATTGGTAGCGTTAAGTCCAAGGTGCGGGAATTTAGTCTAGGAAAAAATTGTGTACACTTAGAATCAATATCCAGAGGCGTCCCACCGATGGCTTGGAATTGCAAATACAACTGTGTCTCGTGTGATAGGTACCTTTACCGAGCATCTGAGTAGCCGAAGGAAGGACGGGAGTTGTCGTAAAAGTGGACAGTAAAATGGCCTGGAAAGTGGTGCAATAGTTCAAGAACCATCCAAACATGTCAATTCGAGATGTCGCTAAAAAGTCCAAGGTGTCAGTCGGTTTTGTGCAGAAAACCATGAATCGTGCTGGATTACATGTTTACAAGGTGCAAAAAGCCCCCAACCGGAATGAAAAGCAAAACATCACTGCGAAAACCCGCGCCCATGAAACTTCACACGAAGTTGTTAACCAAATCGTGTTGCATCGTGATGGATGACAAAACTAACGTCAAGGCCGACTTCCGTCAAACAAATTTACAAATTTTGTAAATCATAACTCATTAGTAGTTTTCATTCCCTGAAAATTTCAAGAAAATCCAATAATCGGTTTAATTTTGGTGAGTAAATATGTGTGTGTCATTTTTATCGAATACACCCTTTAAGCATTGGCCGCACAATGTCTCAGTGCATTTTTAATCGTTATCAGCATATAATTCTATGCTAACTCACATTTCACTATTCAATGACATAATTTGTTCACCCAGTCACCTGTTATTAATTTTAATTTTTATTATTATAAAAACTTTAAAATTTTACTTTTCCTCTACTGTTTTGCTCATGTACCTACTCATTTCCCGTGTATCATTTCATTGTTGGTCGGTCCAACTGAAAAAGAAGAATATTTGTGTTACGGACAAACTTGTATTTCTAGCGTTCAGAATCATAAAGGCCTATCTGCGATGATCGATTCTCTTCATCGATTTTATCTTTACCAGATAAGTGAAGCCGCGTCATTAACAAAAGAGACTATCAACGAAGAGAATCGAATCAATCGATCATTGCAGATAGACCCATATGAGTCTGAACGCTAAGTTTGTATATCAGAAGATGATGAAGTAGAAGATATCCAATTACATTCGGTATGCTTTTTTTACCATTTCAGATATCGAAAACATTGGTCAAAAACAGACTGCTTCCTATTTTGAAAGAGTTTGGCGAATATCCGGAGAAGCATCGTTCCACCATTTGGCGTACTCTGCTCGAACTGCCACACAATGCCGATTGCTTCAATGCGTTGCTACTGCAGGGACACCATACTTGTGTGGCGGATTACGATCGCAAATTTTCCGGCTTCGAAGGACGTACGGTTCGGAACATGAAAAAACTAGTTTCCTGTCTGGCTCACTGGTCAGCGGTTTTTGCTCAGTGCGATTTTGTGCCATTTTTCGTGCATCCCTTCGTTCTACTGTATCCGAATGATTCGCTTACGTGTTTCGAAACCGTTGCCACGGTGTTTCTAAACCAGTGTCAGTTGTGGTTCGAGTTTGCTCCACTGGAACCGTTTAATTATTTGGGAATGATAGAGAACATTCTGTGCGAGTATGAGCCGAAGCTGATGAATTTTTATCGTTCGGGCAATATATCTTCCCGAGTCTATGCCCTGACGTTGATGGAAACGGCTTTTGCGGAAAACTTTGATGCCAATCAATGGACTCGTCTGTGGGATCACATACTTTCGAACGAAACCTATTTTATGTTGTTTTTTATTGTTGCGTACAACGCTGCCCACAGAACGACTATCATGAATTGCGCCACTGAAAAGGATGTTGAAGCGTTTTTTCGTGAACCATCCCTGATAGACATCAACAGGCTGTTGAAAAGGACTTACGATATAGCGGAACGATGCGCGGAAGGCATTCATCCCGCGTACTACATGAAATCGTTCGTATCACTCAGCGGTATTACAGAAGAGGCCAAAAGCTCTAATTTAGACGGGCGCCATAAACCATACCAACGTTATGGACCCAATCAGCTTCTAAATCGTGATGAGAAGCCAGTCAGAAGCACGTACAGCAAATTCAACAACTTTCCGAAACAGCTGGTCGACATTAGAGCTGACGAGTTGAACTGTTTGAAAATGGAACAACGCCGATTGGAAGACAAAATAGTCGAAATGGAAAAATTGGAGCACATGCTGAAGGACCGAATGGTGGAAAACTCCATTCAAGAGGAACATGACAAACGGATGAAGGGTGAGAAGAACTGTTGCAATTAATATTGGGGAATGCAAGCAATGCACTATTCACTGTGTTTGGGATTATATAGGGTGTTTGAAAATTATAAGAACATATTTTTCAGTACACGCAAAATAAATAGCATACAGAAGAAATGTAAGTGTAGATTTCATACAGTAATCCCTCCATTTATGCGGTGGGTGGCACCGTATCTATATCTCTGCCGTCCTTCAACCAATTGAGCCGACCTTCTGCAGATAATTAGTTACTGGTTGACAATAATCACATGAACAAATAATGTTATCGACAAATATAAACACACTAAATCTACATGTTTTTGCTGAAGGCAGTATGTGGCTAGGTGCATTTCTTACACAGTTATAGCACTTGTTTAACTCTTTGTAAATAGAGTAAATTTTCGACTGCGTATAGGGGAGAAGGTGGCAAGCTGGGACACAATATCAACTACTCTTTTTAAAGCTTAGATTATGTAAGTTAAAGGTTTGGTTAGCGCCAATTCATAAATGAGTGAATAATGTGATAGAATGTTCGTGTGTTTTGCCTTTTCTGAGCATGAGCACGGTTGCTACTCTGTTATGGCCAGATCAGCTGTAAATACACAGAGAACCAATAGACGATGTTTGGGGCTAGCATTCATCCTCAATGTGTAAATACTGGTGATCTTAACCTAGGAAATACCAGCGTCGGCTGCGCCCGAACGCAGGTCAAGAAAGGAATGGGTAGGAATGTGTTGACGTGACACTCGTTTTGATGGAAGCCGAGGAGTCCTCTGCACTTCGACGAGGAATCACTGGGATGTTTGGTAAAAGGGTTGGGTTGGGTTTGCAGCAGGGTTCGTTTTGGTAAACGATAAGCTGAGTTGATGTCCTAACGATCATATAACACGAAGAAGCTTGGGATTGAACCCACGATCTTCTGCTCAGTAAGCAAAATCGTTTGCCAATAGGCAAACGAGCTATTTTTTAATCATTGATTTGCTGTTATTACCATGTAGTCATATTAACAAATAAAACGATTCACGAATCTTGAATGTGGATGGGGCTGAGATTAGGCTCAGTAAGCAAAAATGGTCGCTCTAAAGCCACCGAGCCCCTCATATCACATCATACCGTTACTCGAGTTGTTGTGACCTTTCAAACCTGGCACCGACGACGACAAGTTCTGCAAAATACATGATAAACAAGCGATTTGACCATAAATATCTTTAATATGAAAGGACTTGGGACCGCGTTTTTCTGCTCAGTAAGCAAGCCACTGCAACTGAAGATCTTTCAGGCTATCATAACAAGCTATGACCGACGTGACGATTGTTTAAGCCCTGATGAAGCAAGTCAAATGAAATTACCTTTTTGAAAGCAGTCAATAATGTATCCCAAACTGGATCGAGCGTGCGCCCTATTTTAGTCTAATATGATTTTAAATTTTTCCTGCTTCGGTAAATGTTGAGCATTTTGAAGATATGTTTTTTTTTTAACCAAGAACCAATGACAAACCCTTGCATTAATAGTCCCTTTAATGTTGTCCATATAATCATAGCTAATCGATTAGTATTTAGAAAATTTTATAATATTTTGTGACTCCGACAATAAATGATAAAAGATCTTATGTATCCCTAATTTATTAAAATGTTCAATAAACGTATAATTATAAAGATTTTGTACGTTTTTTTTTGCATGAAAAGGATTTTAATATTCTACAATTTGGTGAACTTCAATACTTAAAGGTTTCTTATTTTTATCGAAGAGATTCTCAATTCCTCATCTCATCTATTTATCTTTAACAACTTACAAAATTATGTTTGAAAACTTAGTTTTGGTAGATATTTACCATTTTATTCGATAATAGTTTTTCAATAATCACCATTATAATAACTTGAACATTTATTAGAAACATTTTATTTTAGATATTTCTTAAAGTATGGGTTAGGATTAGATAAAAACAAAAATTGGCACTTATGATTATTTTTGAATTACAAATTAACAGGAGCAACAAAGATAATAATATTCAACCACAGATGTCGTTTGCCTGGCATAGAGAAGGTAACACCAGAACTCGCTTGAATGAATGCTCAACACTCCGGAAGACGGAATTTTAACTCGTATCACTAGAAAGGCGAGGCCTGACGGTTCCCTTGTGAACCTGGTTTCAGACGGAATTACGAAAATAGTGAAAATATGTTAACCAGAGCTGCTCTTTTGAATAACAGACTACCACTGAAGCTACTTTTTCATTTTATATTTCATGACGTCACAATTTAGGGTACTTGCATGCTTTATTTTCGGACCGGAGTCCACGTTTACGCTGGTGATGATACTGTTGGTGATGCTGATTAGGGTTGGTCGTGCTGGCGATGATAACGGTGGTTGACCATGATGGATGACAATTTTGGTGGTGTGATGGTGAAGGTGGTGGTGGCGGACGGCAGCAGCCGATGATAGCCGGTAACTAGATTCAACCCGGTAACACTAGCGTTGAACACACCCCTTGTAGCACACTTGTTTCAAATCAATTAATTATATGATTTGAGTAGTAGCTATACTGAAGATCCGAGAGATGTCGCCCCTTCAGTGGTAGGAAAATCATTTTTGCAGTATGGAGAATATCAGAAAATCCACGATTTGTGACTAAACATACTTTCACAGAAGGAAACAAATAAACGAGTTTTTACCTTATCACCATAGTAATGTACTCGTGCAAATTTTGTGCATCTAAAACTGCCCATAAAGACGATAATGAATAAAAACTGAAAATTTTCATGCATTTCCAAATGGTTTCCTACCATTCCCATACATTCGAAAGTGACTGGCCCTCTGGATGTGGATGATGTAAAAAACAACAAAACATGATTAATTGTAGAAACTTATATACGACTTATATACGGATCAGTCATAAACAAGTTGCTGTAACTTATTGTGATGAAAGTGTGCTACTCGGGACGGTGGCTTTGGTTACGGTGGATCTACGATGGTGGACGGGTAGTTTTAATGATGGCGGATGTGGCTTTTGGGGGGCGGTCACTGCCTCTCGATGTGGCAATAATCACAATGGCGGCCTTCCGAGACGTCGGAAACACCCAGCCTCTTCGCGGACCACGAAGCACCATCGTTCCACTCACCGGACACTTTCCTGTCAGATTAGACCGCAAAATAAAAGAAAAAGGCCCTTTGGACCTAACAACCAGCATTATTCCCCAGTGACGTCACTCTTCTAAACCAGCATAGCTTTCACAATCTTACAAACTAAATTACCTTTTTCTCATATATAATGAGAGAGAGAAGGATTATTAATTTCCATTTAATTCCACTACCTTATTTGCTTATCCTTGACAGATACGCGTATTTCGTCTACAAGTCTGCACATTGTAGACGAAATACGCGTATCTGTCAAGGATAAGCAAATAAGGTAGTGGAATTAAATGGAAATTACTAATCCTTCTCTCTCTCTCATTATACAGGTATTAGGTACTAAGACGCCCACATTCATCAGGATTTTTCTCATAGTTTTCCTGGTTTCTGTTGGTTCAACTGAGAGTGGTCGGTAAAAATTTTACTTAACGGTTAATTAACTTCACTCTTTTATCGTATACTAACACGAGGCTACAAAAAATAAGAAGAGATAAACACTGAAATTAACACGTTTTCACCATGCGGTTTTTTAATTCACTACCTCTGATGTACTCTTACACACGCGCGCACTTCTACTCCGTTCTAGGATAAGTTGGAAAAAGATCTAGAAGCTGAGCTATGTATATAAATTTTAAAATAATGTCCTTAATCTAGAACATTCCACTTGACATTTATGTTTTGTGTTGTGAAACACCTTGCTATCAAAACCATACGCGCCATCTGTGGATGAGCTCAGGTACTAATAGGGCTGGGATATGTTTTGCCCGCTCAAACTGTTATAACAGAATCGCACTCATATCGGTACTCGTGGAAGTGGAACAGGCTCACACACTCGCAAGCCAACAAGTGAGTGCCACTGTTACCAATCATTAAGTGAATGTGCTAGTTTAATCTGAAGGGCGTATTCGTTTTATACGGTTATAAGTTTGTGGAGGAGCCTACAAGTAATAATTTGGAACCACTGGTTACAGACCATCAGACCATCATGGAATAAAGTTTAACACAAAAGTCGCACAAATGGACAATTTCATTTTGTTTTCCATCCAATTGTGATGATTTAAAAAATATATATTAAAATTTTTGACACGCTAGAAACAATTTGGATTCTAATTTGAATTCCCTTCAAACTTCCACCATCTACTGAATTTTTTTGTAATTCACTCTACAGTATTGTTGGTATTCTCAGTTTATTCTATGTTTAAAATACTCTTGTTATATGCATTACAGTTCCTTTGGTAATTTCTTCAGAAACCTTTTGAAATTCACCTCCGACCTGCTATTGAAGTTTGCTAATAATTTTCTTGAAACTTTCATCAGAAAACATGAAAACACCTGAAAATTTTCTCAGAACATTGAAATTATCTCTCGGGCTTAAAGATTCTTTAGAATCCTACACACTTAGAAAAAATTACCGACTTCGGTAATTCATTTACCGAATTCTCAACAGCTGAACGGTCGGTAATGTGTTCGGTAATCGAGAACATTACCGAAAAATCTGTAAACTGAATCAGCAAAATTAGCTGTCAAATTTACCGAACGATCGGTAACGTTTACCGAAAAAACAAGCTTGATTTGTAATTGATTTTACCGGAGAACTGTAATTTTGGAGTCGATATGAAAAATAAAAATTACCGAAAGATCTGTAATTTTTTAAAAAGTCTACCGACTTAAATTTAATTCACTTAAATATTGTTTCAAGGTGTTTTTCGGGTTTTATCAATTATACAAATTAAATACAAATACTCAGATGAATAATTTTTTTGAGTTCATTCAATGATGTCTCTGATTCACGGGTAGAACTTGCTTCATCGCATTGAGTAGGCATTTCATGGCCGATGAAAAGGGTTTCCCCGAGTGGATCGTTTCCCTTCGTGATACTTCCGGCTGGAACAAAGCTTTCAAGTGGATGCTTTTCAATTATATGGCGTTTTAAAGAATAGAAGTTTCTATATCTTGCATCACATTTCTGATATGTACAATCAAAAATTGTGTTTTCCGGTATCTGTAACAATGGGTATTTATTTAGATAACGAAATATTATTACTTACGGAAAATATCTACGATTCGCTCATCTTGGTGTTGCAGCTGGTCCATAACAGCCTCCATAATTGAACTTTTTATTTTTCACAAATTTTCACTTACAATTTTTTTTTAAGAAGGTCGAAAATCAGAATATGGTGAATTTGACGTTTCTCGCTGTGAAAACTACCGAACTCGGTAATGGAACGGTTTGTTTACCGAAACTTCAGTAAAATATTTCACCGAAGTCAGTGATGAAGCTGATTTACAGATCTGCCGGTAATTTTTTTTACCGTTTTCGTTGAGTTGAAATGAAATCACCGAAATTCGGTAATTTTAGCCAACATTGTCTTATTATAAGAACTTTGAAAATATTTCAATGTGTCAGATTCTTGGGAATGTTTAAGAGTCATTGGAGTTTCATGGAAAAGAAAAAAAAATTCAAAGTTACAAACTGGATTTAAAGAAGAAAATATTTAAAAAAAATTTAAAATCTGAATAATAATTCTCAATCTTAAAAACCAAGAATCATGAGGATTTTCGTGATCTGTAATTATCAGGAAAAAAATTGTAGTTTTTTTTCGAGTTTTCCGAAATAATGAATCTAACTTCCATCCGATTCGGAAACTAAAACAAATGTGGAGGATAAACAATAAACAAAAAGTTGACAAAAACCAGTTAAACTAAAAATTTATACTTTTTTCTAGATACATGAAATCTAAAAAATATATATTTTGCGACTGAGTTAGGAGGGCAGTTGCGCCCCCTTGCCTCTTCTCTTGGCTACGCCTATGGCCTCTAGCATGCTTTTCCTTTAAATACCTGCTCGAAATGAGATTTGCCATTAAGTTCGCTCGTCAGGTAAACTTCTAGTTACGTTGCTGGATTACGCAAAATACTCTACAATTTTCAAAATATTTTTTACTGATTTTATTTTCTGATTTTTTTTTCCTTGATTTGTTTTCCGTCGATCTTGTTTTCCGTACTGAGCACCAATACTACCGACGCCTGGGAGGCAGCTCTCACACCTGGACACTACTTATCGACCCATCAACTCATGAACCGGGACCAACGGCTTTACTTCCCTTCCGAAGGAAGGCGTGATCAAAGATGTTATGCCTCAGAACCCAGGCCGGTTGGGGTGAGAGGTTTTCACGCTTACCACTACACCACCGGCGCCGCTTTCTGATTTTTCAACACCAGTTGAATCAAACTTGCTTTTAGTTGAACAACGGAAAACATAAAATAAAATAAGACCGTGTAAAAAAGGGTTTGGTGTACTGTTATTATACCGAAGACGACAAAGATGATGATAATTTGCATGGAACGATATGTAAGGCAATGAATGGCATCCTTATTGCCGCATAATCTGTATATATGTTACCATGAAGTTATGATCGTTTTTTTTTGTTTGTTCTATGGATATATGCATAATGGATTCGAACCGACTGCTAGTTGGATATGGAGACATAAATTAATATCCGGTTATCTATCGTCAACTTCGAACAGTGCTCGGAGCATTTTGAACGATATATAGCTATAGCATATGTGCACGGAGAGCAATGAAAAATTATCATAATGCGAGATGAAAATTATTGGCTTGGAAAATCCTTTTTGCATGCTTCTTACATCCGGTATTCGTTGTGTTTTCATTAAGCAAAATTGATTGGGTAATGACTTTATGTTACTATTACGGTATCAGGAATTTTAAATGAAGAATAAATTATACTGTGGTTCGATTTTTTGTGCACTCTGGTCGCCTGATAAAGAGTTTGATTTCAAGATGAGAAAACGAGTAGTGGCATGGTCCTGAAGATGATAAATTTGACTCTCCTTTGCAGAGGTTGAGAGGAAGTACGAAGAGGCTCTGACGAGCGAGGAGCAACGGATCGAGATGCAGCGGAAGCTACTGTTACTGCACAAGAAACAATTACGGGAACGAGAGAATGAAGTCCTGACAGAGTCGAGGAATGTGTTGCTGCGGAAGAGTGCTGCTGCCCGTGAATGCGAGCTCGAGACATTGCTGAAAACGTTGCAGCAGGAGGTAAGAAAATTGGATAGGTAGGAAATTTGCCTGCATCATTCTCACATTAGGGGCTGCTCATAAGCTACGTAGACCGTTTTTAAGAGGTTTTAAACTCCTCCTCCCGCCTCGTAGACAGTCGTCCATTTTTGGAAATTTGTATGGACCGTTGACATTCACCACCCGTTGAAGTGTCTACGTGGTTTATCAACAGCCCCTTAGTTGCAGCTCCAGATGATGCCACGGGCCTTAAAAAATGATGAGTTTCTCTTTTTAGTCGAATTCATAGGAATTTGTTTGAAGAGAGGTATACGATGCATAATATTATGTTTTACCTCGATTCCGATTTCTATATTTTTGATAGGTACCTACATAGTTGTTAGTATCCATTATTTTTCAGATATGAAAAATTTACGTAGAAGCTTTGTTCTCGTGGAACTTAAATTAAACGTTTAATGATACCAAACAAATGCTTCCGGATTTCTATAAAAAATTGAATGATTTTCAACGTAGTTTGAACTCTGCCCATAAACATAACAATCTCATGTGAATTCGAATTGGATAAAATCATTTATCTACTGTAATCGATTCTACCTATCTAAATATGTCCAAAAATATCAAAACTTGGTTGTCCCAGCCATAAAATACCATGAAAGCTGGCTTGCTGTTTTTTTTCCAAATGGGACTGTTATGCGTTTATGGGCAGAACTATAGAATCAACTAAAAATATATAAGTTTCTGCTCAAAATTTTCAGTTTATTTTCAGAACACAACATACAAAACAAAATTACACATCGTTGCATCGACTAACAACAACAATTTTGATTCGAATAGTAGTAGATTTCGAGTTCTAAATATAAGGGAAAAGCAAAATGCAGCATACAGCCTACGAACGCGTGACAATTGCGCTGCTTCTAATGTTTACCAATGCCATTCGATAATTCAATTGACTCTCTCGCCACTCTCCATATCATTACAGAGACACTGCGAAGAAATCGATCTCATGTTTGCCGAAGAGGACATGAAATTGCGGGAGATGGAACTGCTGGCAAAACGGTACGATACAAATGCGAAATTAGTGGACGATCGATCTTTGGACCAACGATACCAGCAGGCAATTCAACAGCTGGAACGTCAGAAGCAAAGGCTCTACGAGGATATTGAACGGGTAATAAAATTTGTTCCGTTTCCTTTCATGTTTTCACTCTCGCCTCCCTCCACCCGTTGTCGGTAGGTGGTGGCGCATTTCCTGTGATTGCCATAATATAACGGATCTATCCTAAAGCATGGGGATGGTCCGTGTTATATACGTCCTTCGAGATGGCTTTGGGGCGGGCGTTTGCTGAACCTGACTTTTTATCTCGGGGGATGTATCAGATGCGAAGCTCAGGAAAGGCCATGTCCATCTTCAGCGCATGGCCCCGTGATATAATGGTCTTGTCCTTATCCATCTAGTTTCGATCTAGGCTGATTTATTTAGGTTTCGATGCCGATTTATAGGGTGTGCCGATAAATGTTCTCTGCTGACACATGGGGTTAGAATTTGATTGAGGGTTGCGTGCGTAAAATACAGCCGAAGTTACTAAAAGTGGCACTTTTGTTGCCGAGGATGAAGAAGGAAGCTACCGGACGGCAATAACAATGACTGATTTGCTTACGTGCTTTAATTACTGCTATAAAATTTATTCGGTGGCAGTTAAGATTGGTGCAGTGTTAGCTTTGTTTGGAATTATGGGCCGATTATTATTTATTGTGCATTTACATTTTTGCAATCCAAATCAGCATTGTTGTGATTATTCCGAAGGAAACCACTGATTCCTTTAGCGAACTTCCGAAGAGGTTGCTACAAAGCTGAAATTTTATTTATTTCTTAGTTTTATAAACCTATCATATTGATAAAAACTTACATTTTCAGTCTCCTTATTGCTAGCTCTAGTGAAATCATCATTCTTTATACAGCATTAAATAGCAAAACGATATTCTCAGAATTTCGTAAAAAATTGTGGTTTTTTTCCCTATCGCAATATATTAGACCCGTATTTTTCTACGGCCCTTATCTACAAACCATGAAAACAATAAAAAACAAATGATTGAAATCAATGTTTTTCAATACAAAATTTTCATATTCCAACATCATTATTTTTTTCCTCTGAAAACCGACTTTCCATCCGAGTGTTATATACCAATCGACTCAACTCGACGAGATCGGAAAACGTCTGTGTGTGCAAGCATAGGAAAATTCATTAACTCGCGTGTGCACCATAGACACAAAATAGTCATCCTCACTTACAAACAGATTTCCCAACGAGTGTAATTCCTCCAACCAAGTGACTCTGCTGGTAGACTCGGAACTCACAGCAGTAGAAAGAAAAAATGAAGGATTAACTGAAACAGCCGAACAATTTTCTTTATCGATGTAGAACGCGATTGAATGCGTAAAAACCGAACGCTTACGATTTAAATAACCGAGTGTGATATTTTTGATTTTGGCTCAGTGATTTAAATCGGTTGGCCACAGCTGTTTTAACACTCCGGTAAAATTTGTAACACCAAACTTGCTATGTTTGAAAAACCATAACTCAGTCATTTATTGACGAAACTACAGACTTTAAATAACAACGCGGAATAGAGATTTTCACGTCCGGTTGTATTGGTGCGATATGTGAGAGCGTGTTAGTGAATATTCGAGGAAAATACATAACAAATCGATGTCAAACTCATTTTGACAGATCTTCTTTCATACATTTTTTAGGTTAGTCAGAGATATAGAGATTAGTGACGTTTATCTCACGTGAATTTATTCCTGAAGATCTTTACTTCAGAAATGGAATATGGTTATAAGAGTATTTGCACTTTATGCTTGCTAAATTCTTAAGTTCGCCTTTGTAAAAATTGTTAATATATTTGTTTTTAAGGGGCAATCATTCACATTTGTGCTTTTTTTTTAAAAGCAATAGTTTTGGAATTTTCGTACGGCAAATGATTTCAAAGGTCTCAAATATTAGCAATTATAACGGAATTAATAGGAAATAAATCAACACACTCAAAAAGCTTTTCATAAAGGGATTCCATTAAAAGGTTCGACAAAATTAAAAGATTTCTCAAATTTTCATTTCTGTGCCAAAATTATAAAAAAAACGTTCTAATTTGGCAAAAAGTTCTTGTTCTACGCTTTTTGTCAATTTTTAATCGAAGAAAGTTTTCAATATTTCATATGTTTGCATTTTGCATAAGCTTATAAAAATTAATCAAAAATATTGCACAAGGACATTTTTCACACATTTTTTTTCAAAATTGCTTAGTAAAATTCTTTGCTTAATTTTTCATAGAAAGACTTTATTTTTCCCTACAACTTTGTCTCAGACGTCATTTCGATTAGAAGTGATATTTTCGTGCTACATTTTATTGAAAAATGTTGCATACGCGAATTGCAAGTTTCAAAATGACCGAATACCCGGCCGAATGTGAATGATTGTCCCTAACAAACAATTACGCAAAGTTTCTTGCAAATTGGAGGAGTTAGAGCCATACATTTTTTTTTTTAATTATTTGGACTGGAACTGCTGTACAGTTTTATGTAGAGGAATGGCTTCGGCATGACAGACTATTTTCGGCAACTCAAATTGAAACACTGATTTCACTGGATTTTCTTACGAAAACACTTCACTGAATGCATTCAAACGATTGGCTTTCAGCTTCAATTTGATTACATTTTTACCACTTAGAAAAAGCAATCTAGCAGGGTTTTCTTCAAATGAAACACACGCGCTACAAAATGCTGCTGATTTCGAGTTGCCGATGAAATCCCTCCCCTTGGCTAGTTTTTTAACCTGGACGTTGGTGGGCGGGCCTAATCTTATGCTTCATAGTGGAGCGTTGGAGACGGTTGGTTTAGGTCCGGCATCGTTGGCTCATGCCGTGACAGAATGGCGTCATGAGTATGCGATGAGGATTACTGAGCTTCCCTCTCTGATGAACCATTGCATAAGAGAACCAAACTTCTAGCCTGAAGTGATAGTATCACACTTGTTACTCCTTTATTTGAAAGCCGCGTTGTAGTACGCTTACGTATAGGCACTGACGTTGGGTGCGATACTGGCTGGATTGGATGGGTTTTGCCGCAAATCACTCTTATTTTATTTATTTTTACGCAGATAGATTTATTTGGGTTTGCAAGGGAATTATACTATTAAAATATTTCAGAAAGTGCCCAACGGTGCCCCTGCTACTTGCGTGACAAGCTTTCGTTGTTGTTTTCATTTAGGTATTACTCAGGGAACAATGTTAAACACCATTTTTGTACATGGTATTGCAACTAATCTTATATGTGCTTCATTTTGATTTGGGATAAGTGTTTGAACTATGGCTCGGGATTTCCACCGTGGCGTGCTTCTATTGTGACATAACCATACGTATTTTTGTGGTGCAAAATAGTAGAAACGTGTGAGCGTAGTTGAAGCATATACCCTATGTAATTTAAAAATCAGATAAGAAACTAACTTCAAAGTGAAGCATTTTAGTCACTTGAAGGGTGTCACCTGGGACGAACTAAATATAGGTCAAAGTCAAAAACAACTTGAAACACGTTAAATTTTAGATAACATTCATAAGTGCAGGTACTTAATAAAGCATGGTAGGTAGATTAGAGATTTCAATTATTTATTAAATTAGACTAGAGATATCATAATCATCAAACGAACTTAAATAAGAAAATTTAGACAGCCTAGTAGCATTAAGTGAATTAACAGAAGAGTTAGGAGGCGGAGGGTCCGCTTAGGGAGGCAACTAGCCTTTAAAGCAACTGGCAACTAGCTTTTTCATGTATTGTCTGTTTATTTTGATTATTGCTTTAAAATATCAATTTGGTATATATGTGAAAGGATGAATCAGTGGGAGATGGATTTTCGGTTTCTTTACATTTAGAATTTACATTTACATTCCTCAAAACCCCTAAATAACCGGCCTCTTCAATCCCTTCCTTTTCCCATGGCGTTCAAGTGGTCCGCATAGACTATTCAGCCATTACCCGTCCTTTATCCTCGGCTTTGGATTGACTTTCGCTCCCATTGCCCCACCAAACGTTGCAAAATGAAAAATGAAAATGATTTCGAGTTGCCGATGAAATCACAGCTGTTTAACACGCAGCTCAAATAGAAAGGTTGCCGAATGAAAAGATGTTGCTCACAATAGTCGCTCTCCCTAGAGAAGGTTGGAGCTTTGTAAAAGCGTTTCAAAACAGTTTTTGACCATTCTTTCAACTGAAATTGTTAGAGCAGCTGGCAGCAAAAGATTGTAAACAAACCAATACTGCATATGTGTGCGTTCCTTAGAGAAAAGAGCTATAGAAAGATGATCACTGCTTAGGTTGCCAAGAATACGTAAATTCCCCTATTAGATTAGATGGTTTATATTCTCCAAATCGTGCTGGATTGGAGTTCAGACCAAATGATCAATCTCGACTGATACAATGCCCTTAGCAACGATACATACCCAAGCAGATGTACATCGTTCACGCTCCAATTCCAGGTGTATAAGATGTTTTAGATTCTCTAAATCGTTCTGGAGTTAAGATTAAATGATCTACTACTAAATCTAGCGACTGATACAACGCCATTAGCAACACAGCAAAAAAATAATTTTGATATCACGTCAAAGTGGATGCACTACAATCATGTCGAAAATATGGTGTAATATTACTTGCTAAAAAGGACAAAAATATCATTAATACAATGCATGAACTGACATTACGCTGCTTTTACTGCATTTGTTTATTTATGTGGTCATAAAAATTACATGAAATTTTCGACATGATTGTAGTGCATCCACTTTGATGTGATATCAAAATTATTTTTTTGCTGTGAACAGCACATTTTCAAGCATATTCGTAGAGTCCACGCGCAACAATTACGATTCACTTCTATGTATCTTACATGTTCTAGGTTTTCCAAACCGTTCTCGACTGCAGACCAAATAATCTACTAGATCAACCATTACTTATACAGTATCCTTATATGTACAATCAGAGTTTAGAAGTCGATACACATCATTTACGATCCATTTGATGTATACAAGATGTTCTAGGTTATCCAAATCGCCTTGGAGTTTATATCAAATGATCTACTATAGGGCTGTTAATCGATATCCGATCAATAGGAGATGTTAACGCTGACGTTATCGACGGTTATCGATTAACAATCCTGATCTACTAGATCGATTACGACTAATACGATGCCCTTAGTACTGAAGTATGTCCACACAGATTCATAGAGTTTATCTGCATAATTTACACTCCATTTTTATGTAAATCTGATGTTCTAGATTCGACAGATCGTGCTGGAGTTCACATCAAATGATATACTAGATCAAGCTCCACTGCAACAATTCGCACGCACCAACACATTCGCATAGGTAAGCGAAGCAACTGCTGTAAAACGAAAGCCATTGAGTAGGTTATCGCGAGTTTCAGAAACGACTAGATTAGCGATGGCGCTGGTACACAGTGTGAAGAGCACATTGGTTAATAATGAGCTTAGTGATTTTTCCTTCGGCCATATTACGTTGAGTGTGGTTGCAACTATAGAGATGGGTAAAATGGATCCCTCAGGTGAATGGTTCAGAACCGGTTTATTCATATAAATGATCCGGATCTTTTGAATCGATCATCAGTTCACTCGAACCCAGTTCAAATACGTGTGCTCAATTTGAACATTTCGTCATTAAATATATATGAAAGTATTTCTTTAAATATTTTTAACAATATCATTATAGTGAAATGTTTTAATTTGAAAATTATGCGTCTCAATCGAATCATCGATGAACAAAAGGCAGATCAGCTAACCTCCGATGGCTAACTGGAATGAGCTGTCAAATGCAGGAAGACAAACAAATGAAGCAGAACTTAAGAGCGAGCGTGAGGTCAGAGTCTCAAAATTTAATTTAATTATCATTTCTGACACACAGACAAAAAAAATCTAAATTTTACTGGTGATGTAAATATCCATGCATGCTAAAATTGAAGCATGTAAACTTCCTTTTCACGTAAACTAGCAATATGTAAGAAATGTTGCTTCCAAAGATGGATGGAATATTTCATGGAATGTCTCATAACTTTACACGATCTAAAATTTAAACTTGCATGATATATGACGCTTCATTCATGTGCATCATAGTAACAGAAATTTAAACAACTTTTTCAAACTAAGCAGCCCAGTTCTGAAAGTCGATCTGAGCAAAAACAGAGAAAAAAAAAGAACCATGAATCTTCTAAACGGATCTGGATCTGATTACACATCTCTATTAGCAACCACTTTGAGCTGTCATTATTGTTAGGGCCCGTTCAAATAGGTCGTATGAATAAAAGCGTTTACTTTACTTTTCCCGTAAGAAAAGCACGGGAAAGTAAAGTCAACTCTTTTTATTCATACGGCCCAATATAACGTTATACAAAAAGTGTATTTTTGAATATCGCTCACCCCTCATCTCGCAGTTTTCCTTCACCTCATACATGACGTTTAAAGCATTGCCAGAACGTAATATTGGAACCTTCCCTTAGAAGCTGGTCGCTCAGCAGTAAATAGATTTTATGGCATTTCAGTCCCCATCCACTTCGTAGGCAGTAGCCTGTGCTAATTGATGGTTATTTACATACTTGGGGCGTTGGCAATCATCCTACTCACTAAATTGTCCACGTGGTTTATCGACAGTTCTTTGAATGTCTTGATTTTATCTTTCATCTACAGGTATCGTATTATGACTCAACTGGAGCTGTAGCAGCCACCATTTACAGCAATGTACGTTCTGACAAAAGTTACAATTTTCCAGCTGGCTATTTAAAGGAAGATAATGGAATGCTTAAGGTGCGTATATTGTTAGCAACTTTGTGTACAAATCATCTTTTGAGCAGAAATCAAAGCAATCAATAGAATGAGATAAATACAGTTCCATCTCTGTAATTGCTAGTAGCCCATCCTATTTCAACACAGCATGATTCAGCAATATATACGTCTATAAAACGCAATTTCACAGAACAAAACGCATTGAAACGGTTGTGGCCTGTTCCCAGTATACCAAGCCCATTTTCCTTGTTCATCCGTTCTGCATTTCTAAGCATGAAGCGATGCTAAAGATTCAGTAAAGTTGTGGGTGTATGTAACTAAATGGGGACAACACCGATGGACATGCATTTTCCAATTTCACGTTCAATTTAATTCTGCTTTACAAGGGGTACGACTGGAATAGGGTGGATTTGCTAATTGACAGACAATGGACATCTTTTGGGCCAAAACTTTGCTATGCTAGTATTTGATTGATGTAGGAAAGATTAATAGTCTATATTTAGTTGTAAAACCCTATTATTGCCTTGATGATCTAAAATGTATAACTTTGAATATTGATGTCTTTGAATTGAAATAGAACCCATGCGATTTTATAACTCTTCCTTACTTTTAAGTCAATTGTCTTTTATATTTTTAATCACATTCTGTGTTTCGATTTTTCTTCTTCGCAGGACTACGAGATGAAAATAAAACATTTGGAGGCTCAACTGGAAACATTAATTCGTGTTCAGAAGCCATCATGAAAAAACTTTATAAAATGTGGATATACTAATTAAATGCTGAAAATAATACCAATGTTGCAGTGAATGTTTATTCAGAAAGTAAAGGCTAAAAGCTAATCCCATTTAAAACTACATTAACGCCTTACAAAGCCACACTGAGCGCTTTTCACTTGTAAATGGAGTGTGTATTAAATGTGAATGCTGCTTTCCAATAAATAACACTCTCCCTTCCACATACGTACAGTTTGGAAAGTGAACTCAAATGCATTCACAGTCATAAGGGTTAGGTATGTACGAGGATCTGGCTGAGAGCTAATGGTAATTTCTAAATTTGCATTACAAATCTGCTAAGCTGCAGCAGAATCGAGATGGCACGGTCATAGCTTTTTGCATCGTCTTTAAGTACACCCCACACGACGAAAGATTCGTCTGTCAATATTTTCACATCAATATTTCGATCAACATTTTTCCTGGGTCATAAATTACAGGGCCGCTCCCCAATACATTTGTTACATTCGATCGACTTTTCCGAGATAAATGACAACTTTACTGACCCAGGCTCAGTATCTGGTCCCTGCTGACTGCTGTAGTCAAACACAATTGAAATTGTAAGGGAAATATTGAAACACGAAATCAAACATTTTTGGTTCTGCGTCGATATTGATCATCAATATTTGCATAAATATTATTGACAATACTTTTGAGTATTGACAATATTTTTGCTCGTGTGGTGGGCGCTTTAGATATGTCGTAGGTATGTATACACATATCCGAAGCGGAGCTAAAAGTGTCGTTGATTTGGTAAACTTACATGCTCCATATGACTATGTGCAATGTCGGTGCAATGTACACCAGGGGCAGCAGGGCAACCAAACGCAACGCAGCGGCAGAGAAAGACGTCTTCTAATTTACATAGTGCGACAGCGACAGCGACAGCGGTTAGTGCCATGTTTGTGTTGTCCAAATTTAATAAAGTGCATCAAATGGAGTGCATGTATTGCACCTGTTTCCGTGTTTTGCGCAACTGATCAACCAAATTTGAAAAGAACAAGCTTGGCATAACTTTACTGACACGAGCAGTTCCATGCCAAATCTTTCAGGAAGGGTCTAGCACGCATTTAGATTAATTTGACATGTCTTGCATCCCATCTAGATGAATTTTTCACATGTTTTCTGATATGGAAGGTGATGTGCTTTCCAGGGGTCAAGGGACCATTACGACAAAAAATATAGTAATTTTAAAGTATCCACCGTTAATAGCCCGATTAGGGCCATTTTTGCAATATAAGCCTGATATAGGACTATCAGTTTTTATATTAGCTGTATATCAGCATTATATTGCACTTTTTGTATTAGCAGACTTGATGGTTTCATGGGTATGCTGTATTTCGGCTGTTTTTTTATGAACCGAACTGGTTTCTTTTTAATCACAATAATATAGTCGTCTCTTTTTTCATTTCCTTCACCTTTTACTCAAGCATATCTATCTCTTCGTCTGTTTACTTGTCGTTGGTGTTGGTAAACGATGCACGTCCAGTGTATGTACAACTACTGCTCTGTTCTTCATCCTGTTGTTGCCTTTCGATTTGTGGACGCTGTCAACCTTCTGCTTCGTTCAGGCATTCATCTTGCATAAGAAACATTTATTTTCAATCCCTTCCAATTGAGGAAATGAAGCGTTCTTAGAATGATTATCTTCGCATCTACACTGAGAAAAAAATAACATAAGAATTCCATAAGGCATGACTTATGAAACTGGACAATTTTGATATTATACTTGGTAAGTTTTTTTAACGCTTCAGTAGCGAGCGTTTTGTATGCTCATAAGTTAGTATTCTTGATCTAGATGTACTTCCACAGTTGAGAGCTTTATATGCCAACCCATTCATGAATTTGTATATTGTGTGGCAATCACAATGATCCTCTATGTCCAGAGAAATCGTACCGAGTCTTTACAGACTGGGCTATCTGAGGCCTTTCATTTTCATTTCATATGTCACTTCCCAAGTAGCACAATTCTGTCCCAAAAAGTTGCAGCAACTTGTTTATAACTGAAATAAGTCGTATATGAGTTTCTTAAACCAATTTATAACAAGGTGCTACTAGGGTTATGAGTTATGTCGACTTCGGCAATCATTGCCTTTTTCGGCAACCAAAATTTAAACGTTAATTTCACTGTTTTTTCTAACCAAAACACTTCGCTGAATGTATTCAAACGATTCCTTAGTTTTTCAGCTTCAATCTGATTACATTTTTAAGACTACACAGCAAAAAATAAATTTTAATATAACATGCACTTCAATCATGTCGAAAATCTCATGTACTTTTTATGGCCACAACAATACATAAATGCAGTAAAAGCAGCGTAAAGCACTGTATTAATGATAATTTTGTAAAAACTCTTTCAAAAAGTTTTGAACAATTCTGTCGATTGGAAAAGATAGAGAAGCTAGCAGCAGATGAATGTAAACAAACAAACACGTCATACGTGTGCGTGACGCTGAGAAAATGCTAATATAAGTGCAGAGGCTGCTTAGATTGACGAGAATACGTAATTTCCCCTACCTGCATAGGTTAATTATTGGTTCGAGATATAAAACAACATTATTTTACCAGTATTTTTTCTCCAAATCATTTATTAATTCATTTTTTTTCCATTGACTAAACATTTTTTGACATTCATTTCATTTTACATTCTTAAACACTAGTTAAAATTAAATATACTCGGTGGGTTTTCAACCAGTCGCACAGTGGGAAATCAAAAATAGTAGGACATATTTGCGACGAAGACGAAACTAATAAGTGTAGCATTTTGATGTCTTCTTTAACGTTTCTTCATTTTTGACTATGTTATATGAGTAGTGAAAATATTCGCTTAAGGAGGGTATACACTCAGATAAACAAATAACTTTTTTATGTCTTGTTGATCTTGTCTATGTTGATGTACATCCATGAAAACATTGTAAATGAAGTCATTTAAAGAAACTTTGCCCGAGTTGAAACTTTTCTATCTCGCTAGTGGACGAAGTTATAGGGTGAAAATGCAGTACAAACGGACATACCCCCTTAAAAAGTGTTTTTTTTTTACCATAACTTTTTTGTTTGAATTTTACCATTTTTTTTCAATGTTCTACAAAGTTGGAAGTGCTTTAAAAATGCATGTTTTTGGACAAGGAAACAAATCGTTATCACTTTGTTTTAAGGATTTACGTCCGATGTATGTAAAAGTGAACTATATTGCGCTCCAAAGTGATGTATTAATTCATATAACTATTTTTTTTTCTTCTTTTTTTTTCCCTTGATTTGTTTTCCGTCGATCTTGTTTTCCGTGCTGAGCACCAATGCTACCGACGCCATGGAAGCAGCTTCCTCACCTTGGCCCATCAACTCATGAACCGGGGACCAACGGCTTTTACTTCCCTTGCGAAGGAAGGCGTGATCAGAGATGTTATGCCTCAGAACATCCCGGCGGCGCCGACTGGGATTGAACCCAGGCCTTCTGGGGTGAGAGGTAATCACGCTTACCACTACACCACCGGCGCCGCTTGAGATTTTTTTTTCTGAAAGATGTCTAAAAACGCATTTTGAAAAATTGGGGAATACTTGATCCCCCTTTGACGGCATGTATTGATTTATAGGAGAGTGCACTCAGGATCTTTTCATATCATGTTTTTTTTTTCGTCGAACCTCTGACATCATATATGTGTGTGTGTGTGTGTGTGTATTCCCTCTAACCCCCACTGGCCGGCAGTGTTATTATGGAAGAACTCTCTCTACAATGTCGCATTTATGGTCATTGTAGACAGCTTTAGTCCGGGAGTTAGAAGGTGATAACTCTATTGCAGATCCAGCAACCCATTTCAGAATGTCTGGAGAGTCACGCCCATTCCGAGGTTACTTTCACTCACAACAAGCCCCGCATGTATGCATCACCGTTATCAAATGGATATTGGTGATACATACACACTTCCAGGTTCGACAATATTCTTTTCAACCCTGGCATGTATTTAGAGTAATTTTGATATTTATTTTTTTTTTTTTAAATAAATGGAAAGCTCTCACCATATTCTGCTCTTCCGCCGTCGTTATTTGCTTCTTTTGGAATCCCTTGAACTTTTTCTCTAACGCTTCGTATTTCATTCCGTGCTTCACCGGCAATTTCCTTCCGTAGACCGTCCTTGGTTGGTTGGTTCTAATATGATTCCGCCTTTTTTGGTCGGTTTGATGTCCACCATCTGTTATTGAATTGCCATGGTGATCTGGGACGAGGCTCACGTCCAAAGTCACTGGTTCATCGAGCGCTCCGTTTGCGAAAGGAGAATGAAAGAAATACGAAAGGGATCAGTTTCAAGAAGTGACAGTTTCATCAGATTCCCCAACTAACCATACTCAAGCAAAGTACGAATATACAAGCTATATTGCGACTATATGGTTACTTGGGTACTCATATGGCCGTCAGAATGGTTCATCGGTTGCGAAGTGAAGTATTTCTGAAAGTGATGCGTAATATTTTTCAATGTTTTGAATTTATCCTAACGTTACCTCAATGTTATATGACAGACAAGCAGACACAACACATTGAACATTTATAATTGTAAACCCTACCGCCATCTGTCGTATATACTTTGATGGGCAATACACTCAACAGATGGTTGTAGTGTGTAAACGTCAAACGCTAGGGAATTGATTATGTGCACCACAAATGGCAGTACTACCAACTAAGAAACATTTAAATTGACCGTTAAAAACGATTTTGATGAACGTTTTAAGAGTGTTATGTCTGCTTTTCTGTGATCATACCTTCACTATCGCAACTTCGGGTAATCTGCGGAAGTACTTGCATTTTTCTCAGGCACTTTTGATCTAACTGCAATTACTCTCTCATACTCGAAATGTGCCACGAACAAATTGGCACAACGACGCCCTATACGCTCTCTGACCGAAGCGCAGGGAACCTCTGACATCATATATACATCAAAATATCAGTTTTGCTTCACCAAGCTCAATCGATTTCAAAGCAA